TTTTTTTTTTTTTTTTTTTTTTTGATGTCTGTGAAATTTGTTCTATTGTTATTAAGACTATTCGTCATCATTCTATGCAGTCGACAAGAGACATAAGATATTTCGTATGTTTTTTTCGTTGTTGTTCATTCAGCTTTGGTTCTGATTCATCGGCAATGTCCATTCCATGCAAAAACCACCCATTGAGACAAATTGAATCATTGTCGGTGTTTATACCGGTTATTAGCTGCTGAGGTTTTAGTGCAACAATTTCGTCGAATTTTTTTGATTGGTAAACAGAAGATTTGTTTCTGTTCAGTTATGGTGACAAGATATTTTTATTTATAATTATTAAAGTAAAAAAAATCTGGAAAGAACATTTGCACTAACTGATTGTGTCGTTGAAACCATCTGTAATTTTTGGTTTAATGCTTTTGAAAAAAGCATCTTTTACTGCTTCCATCAACAAACTGAACGTTACAACAGCGTCATCTATTCTGCTTTTATTTTTATTACTTCACTTGCAATTTTTGGCTTTAGAAAAAAGCGGTTGCTAAAAGAATTTTTGCAATTTTTTTTTCACTTAATTAAAGTAACTTTTCTGACAGGTAAAAGTAAATGAGTGTAGTTATTGAAAAAAAAAAAAAATGGAGGTACTGATGAGTTTTTTTTTTGTTCAACCGTACTTAGGTGTTTGGTTTTTTTAACATTTTTCCTGAAAAGATAGAAATTTAGAATGCTGAAACCTTGACTGGACTTCTTTAATGAACACTTTTTTGTGTTATGGTCTGAGAGTCCTTATTTAGGGATTTCAAAAAAAAATAAAGCAGTTATTAACAACAGTATTATTCTATAAGTTTTTCCATTTCGTAGCTAAGTTGAGACAAAAAAAAAAAAAGAAAAAGAAGATTTATTGCTGTTGGAGCAATTTTCTGTCTATTAAAACATTCTGCTTGGAAATCCTTTATCAGAAACTTTGAGTAGGATTAATTGCTTAATAATTTGCTACGATAATTTTTTTTGCGTAACACTAATACTGTCTGTTTATAACGTTTGCATTACATAAACTGTATCGTTATTATGCGATTATAAGTGCAAATATCTGTCAAATATGTTAGTGACAGAAACTGTTAAAAAAAGCAACATTTTTCAAGAAATTTTTTTTTAACCTACAATGGTAGTCACGGTAACGACGATAATGACATTAAGGAAAAGCTTATATGGGTGTTAAGTTGCATATTGGAGAATTGTATGGATAGATATTTATCGATTTCAAAGATTAAGGCTAATAAAAACATCACCTTGTTACTTTGGCCAGTTCATTTATTTCATCGTTAAATAATAATAGTTTTTTTTTTTGTTTATTCTAAAAGTTAACCAACAAACATTTCCGTTTGTTGATTTATATGTATTACTGTCAAGTGGTATATATATCCGAAACTGTAAGCACCGGAAAATTGGAGAGGTGATGATGTTGTTTGCCTTGTTGTTGACGTAAATGTTTCTAACTGTGTCCTCTGCTCAGCAACATCGTCGTTAATCATCACTACTATGTGTCTCACCAATTCACTCATTTATCTGCATGGAAAAATAATATTCTGATACCTCTGT